CTTGCTTTCAAACTAACGAAAAATCTGACTTCAAGTATGTATACCGTAAAACAAGAAGGAAAAAACCTCGTTAAGGAGTCTGTTGAAGTTGTGCGGTAATTTCTGGGATTCAGTCGTCTTTCTTCGGATTTTGAGATTCAAATAAAATGATTCTGAAATGGTTTGGTCATTTTCCTCCTAACCTGCTCTGCAGAGCTTGCAGTTACATGCCATTTACAGCATCTGTAATGAAAAGGTAATCTGGTAATGGAAATCCCAACTCCTACCTAGTAGGAATCCTCACTATCTTACTACGGTGATATGCATTCAGTTAGTAGCACGCTGTCAGTCTCACATCTGTTAAATGAAGGCAATGCTTTGTTTTCTGGCAGCCTCACGTCCTTTGTAATTCTTGTGCAATTATGCTCCTCCTCTACCCTCTGCAGTTTTCTGAAGCAGCTCATGACCCAAACTGATTGCACATACTTCTCTATGGGAAGGGGAATTTACTTTGTTCTTGAGCTTTTTCTGTAGTCTCACAGGAAATATGAGACCTCATTCTCTTCTTTTTCCTCTGGGATCACATTTAAAAAATAGCATGCCGAGTCCTGAAATATCCGATGAAAAGACAAATTTCTAATGGATGTACTAAGAAAAGAGATTAGGATTGGGAAGAGAGAAGACTCTGATTTAGAAGAGACCTCTTTTAGAGGAGAGAGGTTTGAGGGGAAAAACATAAAATGGAATTTTTGAAATCATGGGAAAATCTTGAGGTAGTATGGATATTGAAATAAGGAATGGTATGCAAGTTTCTTGTTTTATGAATTTTTAGATCTCCCACGTTGTTTAAAAGTAAAATGATAGGTTTAAAGATCACGATGCGAAGTCTGGCTTGTTTGTCTCAGTTATTGTACATCTGAATGTTTAAATAACAAACCCAAGCATCTCCGAGGGTACTGCAGTTAATGGGAACTTTTCTGATGAGTTTCACGCTTTTCAGGAGCAGTGAGGCACTTTATTGCATCTCTCAACAGGACAGAGGTGCTATCTGCATTAACAAGTAGTGCAGTACAGTAAGAGCAGACCTGTGAGGCAAAACAATTGGTGCTGAGGAGCTGATGACCCCTGAGGAGGATTTATTTCAGTCTAGCTGTGATTTGCATCCAGGGACTGAACATCTTAACAGTAGGAGTGCACTTTTACATTTAGTTTCATCCAAAAGGCAATGCAGTTTGCATGCTCTGAAACTGCTCTACAGGGTGAGTCAAATCAAAGTCGGTAGGGGTGTTAAGGAGCACATTTTGGAGCAAATCGCCTCAACAGAACTAAAATGGTAATATAGGTACACCCAGTCAGTCCTTCAGGGAGGTAGCAGAGATGCGGAGTATTAGGAACTTTTCTGGAGGTAAGAGATCTAAGTGGGGTTCGTTCTTGACCCAGAAGCCTAGTGAGTGTTAAAGAAGGGAAACAGTTGCTAATCTGTGATACTGTCCTTCACGGGAAATCAATCAAAAGCACAACTTGCAGAGAGGCTGGGGGACGTAAAGAGTACTGATGGGCTCGGGGGTGACGAACAAAACGTGAGGAATGACTGAGAGCGCTGAGTTTGAGCTTGAGTTCAGCCTCAAGAGGAGAAGACTGATCAGTCCTCTGACTGCCCTAACTTGCAGTCTTCAAATACCAGGAGGGGGGGATTACAGAAGAGACAGATAGGTGCTTCTCAGAGGCACGCAGCAAA